AATTAAAAAGACCTATAGTGCGTAAAAAATTAAAAATACAATGTGGTCGAACAGTGTCACCATTACCAATGACACTGTCCAATGTCAGGGGGTAAACTCTTAGAAAATGCGTGTCTAAAATGGTGCCACCGCTCACGGTCATAATGATGGCATGACATTAAAATGTGGGCTATTGTGACTTGAGTGTCACAATAGCTACACATTGGTGGGTCAATACCGAATAAAAGAAAGCAATGGGTTAAAAAACTGTGACCAATGCGTAGCCTTGCCAGGACAACTTCCTCCTTCTGATCCTTACGGAAGCAAGACGGCCAAAGACCAACAGAAGGTTTGATCTGGAAAAGCTTGTTAAGTCCACCGCCAACTGGCACGAAGCCGTGCCTTGAAGACAGGACCATATTCCATGTATGGGACAGGCATGGCCATGACGGCACCAGAGAAGACAGACTTAGCTGCAGTGTCAGCGAGCTCGTTCCCGTGAATACTGACATGGCCAGGTATCCAGAAAAGCTGGATGGAAGCAGAAAATAAGAGAAAATTGGGCCAGTCATTGTTGAATATCGAGGAGAAGAGGGTGAGAACTAAAGTTAAGCGATTCCAGGGCCAGTAGAGAGCTAAGAGAATCAGTGTAAATAGTACAATTACTGTACTGCATAGCTTCTACATGATCCAGGGCAAGAGAAATAGCATACAACTTGGCAGTGAACACAGAAACTGTAGAGGGAATCCTGCGAGCAACTACTTAGCTACAGCACACCATGGCAGAACCTACAGAGTCACCTGATTTCGAACCATCCATGTAAATAGGAAGAGAAGAATGGCTCGAAAGACATTCAGCAAAAAGAAGACGGTACTTCCAATCAGGAGTATCTGCCTTCCTCAGATGACTCAAAGAAGGGATGGTAATAAGCCATGGTGAAATGGGCTGATCATTGGGGACAGCAATGTCATCCAATGCCAGACCCAATTCAGCCAGTTGTGCCCAGATACAAAGGCCAAAGGGAGGAATAGCAGACCATCTGTTCTGAAAGAGCATTGCCCACCGAGGAAGAAAGACACAATCCCAGATGGAGATCCTTCGAACTGCTGAAACTCCTTGACTGGAGAAACCAGCAAAGATCTCTGACTCGGGGATCGACTTCAAGTCCCTCTCAATGATAACTCCTCATGAGGAATTCAAGGAAGCGAAGGGAGTAACCAATGGCCTTTGAATTCAAGAGAAGTTCACTGTGCTTAGCTGTTTCAACCAAGATGTCTCCAGAATGAAGCTTCTTAACTGACTTTGGAGAGCCAGCAAGCCCTTCTGAAACATTTGCCCTAAAGAGTTTTTGGACAGTGAATGCAGGATTAGGAAGCGAGGTACAGGTGTACTTTGTGATGGAGACTGCTGTTCAGAGTCTTCTAGGCATGGTCATTTACCGATTAGCAGAGTTTTAACATTTTTTTTTTATTTGGATTGGGGGGGATCATAATTAAGGAGAAAGATTCAGTGCCTACTGACCCCACCTGCCATGGAGTCCTACGAGAGGATGCACTACAATGTCAAACAAGGACACTGCAGCAATGCCAGTGTTTCATGAGCACAATACCCAAATACCAGCATCAGACACTATGTCCACAACACCCATTGAGAATGCCCAACACTGTTACTCAGTTGACCCTAGCCCGAGTGGACCAGCTGATTGACCCTGGGGGACCACCCCAAGGTCACCCGTCTACAAGAATTCAAGGCCAAAGTGGTGTGTTGCAGTGCCCCAGACACCACTCAACCACC